GACAGGAGGATTATAGACTCTAAAAATAAATCAAAAACTATTTGGAACATAATCAAAACTGAAACTGGGAAAAAAGAAGATAAAGTAGACATTCAATCCCTTGATATTAAGGGTATTATAACTTCCGACCAACAAATCATGGCAAAAAATCTTAATGATTATTTTGTAACAGTTGCTGAGGATATTATTGATAATACAAGTATTAGTAAAACTGGACAGCCTATGCATGATAACTATTTAAATTATATGTCCTCAATGTTCACGAGTCCGCCGTCAAATATTCGACCTAAGCATGCCTCTAGCCATGAGATAGAAGGAATCATCAAATCCTTAAAAGCCAAATACTCCCATGGTTATGATGAGATACCTATCGCAATATTGAAAGCTAGTGGNGTAGTTTTTGTATTTTGCGTATTTTAATCTATTAGCTTGGGACAAATTCCATATCCACTGGTCAGCTTGTACCATAAGGATCAACGGAATGTATAAATGTAAATAAATAAATAAAACTATAGTTTAGGCTTATTTTTTCAACTTTTGTTTAACATTCAGATGATTCTGTGGTTTCTTCCATACTGTTACATGGCGGATGAAGACTAGCACCCATGAACACTACATCTACAAGAAAAAAGAAAAACAAAAGATGCAACACAGTTGCACTTGAAACATACATATGGTAGGAGGTACAATTTCTTCATCCCTTAAGTGGTGGAAACTTGGATTTTAAGTATCAATTTCAATTTTATTATTATTAGTTTTAATTAATGTTATACTCAACAAGAGAATGATACAGTGCATAACATATAGATGATGGTCATGTGCCCAAAACATGTTCTACTAACAGCATAAACATGTGAATGTAATGCAAAAGTAAGACTGAAATATTACAATTAATGAAACAAATAAAGTTAATTATTTCTAAGTCACTTCCAGATAATACTGCTTATGAAAGAGAAACACCATCACGGAAATGACATCTCATGCACACTTTCTGCACACTTTTTACAAAGTACATAAAACATATCTTTTAGCTCAGAAATTACTAAACTAATTCTAATAAAATTAAGTACTCGAGAGGTCTATGACAAAATCTGTAAGCAACACTGGTGTGCACTGCTCAATTTAAACTCTTAATTTACACAAAGCATAAAGAGCTTTCAATAAATTCCCAAGAACAGCTAAGTGGGCTAAGTCATAAAATATATATTGCATTAAGCTCTATAATGTTTACTTGTTACAACAAATACAGTAGAACCCCCATTTAACGTTCCTCAACTTAACGATTTCCCCTCATTTAATGCTGAATTTCAGTGACTCCAGATCAATAATCTCAGTGATAATTTCCTGGGGTTTTCACTGCAATGACTTAAGTGAATCTCTCTAATGTAATGTCTGTAGTTGTTAGCAATATAAAAGCAGATTTATAGCTGCACTACAGGCACATCATTAAGTAGGCAAAAATATCAAAAAACACATTCAGAAAAATATGTACTCTACAGGACTTAATTCTTTCACACTTGCTGGCACCAAAAAATAAAACAATTTATTTTTGCACACTAAAAACCAAAGAGACCACATGGAGGTAAATGAGACTTAAATGCTTTCAATCACCTCTGAAACTGGTTCAGGTGGTCGCACAGTGATACTTGGTAGGAATTCCTTCATATCTGTCAGGTACTCATAGAATCGCTGTTCTTCTTCATCCTCCCAGATTGTTGATGTGAAGGCAGTCTCTTCACCATCACTGGTACCAATCAGTCTTAAATCTTCATCCTTCAAATAATCTAAACAAAAAAATGGGCCTATGCTGACAAACAAGTCTATGCAGTTGGTTAAGTATCAGCATCATAAGAAAGGGTATGTTACAAGTTAGTTACAGTTAACATACCACAACACAATATAGTGACTGTTCAATTCCTAGGTTATTTAATGGCTCTTTCAACTGAGGGGGTTATGTAGTTCAAATTATATAGGAAAATGGCCAAGAATGATTGCATGTAAGAAAATGACACCAGCTATTAACCAACGACTTGGCTGGTATTTTCAACATAGATTATTGATGCACTTGCAAAGAAATAATTACAAGAGCACAAAAGTGCCACTAGGCCATTAAGTGAGGGAAGTACTGGGATTGGTGAAAGTAAATGCCTCAGACTTATAAACAGTCTTACAAAACATAATAATGGGAACTTTACTTGGGTACTACTATGCTGTGACACTCTTATTTAATAAAGCCTGGTGTATGAAGTTTGACACCTAATGTGAAATGTATTAAAAAAATAAAGTAAAGCTATCCCTGTACCAGGCCATGAAGGCCCATAGGGTTGAGACGTTGAGGGTCCCATATTATCTAGACAATCAGCTCAAATATGGCGGTAAGGTTGTCAGGCTTACGTGCCAGCCATGCTTTACTCCCAGGAGTATTTAATTAATATTTAATTAATTCCTGGTACTCATTTCTGTTAAAGAGGCTGAGTGAACCCCAGGGCCACAGTGCAGCTGGAAGGATTAGGTCAATTCAAAAAAATCCAATGACCTCATCAGGACTTGAACCTGCAACCTTCCAACTTGTAGCACAGTGCCTTAACCGCTATGCTGCCACGCGCCCCGAATGTGAAATGTATTACCCCCAGAAATTATTGTGGGTAAAAAATTCAACATAAACTTTCTAATGTGTTCTGTGCTAGGTGATATTTAGTTCTGTGGAAAAGCTTCAAACACCTGTACAAATGTATGAACCTTCAAACAGACAATGACTGAGCACAGTGGAAGGGAAGGTGCCTTGTCTTTATAGAATAAGAGGAACTGCTGTACAATTTTATGAAATATCTTGAAAACTGACAGTCATGCTTACAGCTGAATGCACTATAACAAGATTATAATACAATTTCATTCTGGGTAATTCAGATGAGAATCAAGAGGTTAAAGTCACTTTTATGCCCAAGGTAAAGCCTCATTCAAACTATTCAAGTTGCCTAAAAACAAAAAATTGAAAGTAACTGAAAGTGTGAACTGCATTTTACATATGTTTCGGTTGTACTGAAAAAAATATTTTTCAAGTTTCAAGTGAAGTATATAAATCACTCCCCAAGTTTAATAACAACTTGAAAAATGTGAACCACTACTTTGCTCTTCAGTGAATTTGAATGCACTAAAGTAGATGTCCTTACTGTGGGTACAACAGACTAGCAACATAACAGATGATCAAAAACACATATGCCTGGAAACAAGGTACAGTATTGTGTTTCTCAGATATAGTATAAATACTGCCTGTCATCAATGGCAAGGTAGCACAATGTGATTTTGAGTTTTAATATGGCTGATGTTGCATCCTAAGCTAAATCCATTCTTTTTGGATTTCTGGTCCCACCACAACCAATTTGTCAAAACATTTCCACCTGACATTTCAGGTCCTTTTACAGGCTATTTTTATCTTCTGAGGCCAAACCCTTTGTTAGTGTACAACATGTTCCAAGCCAATTTCTTTTCCCAATCCACTTCCTCTTTCAAACCAATACTTCATCCCCCTTCCTAGATAAAGAGCATTTTCACAAAAAAAAAAACAGGACCTGCACTCAATGTCATCTTTTTCTTTAATGGCATTCACTGCAACTGCCTATGACCACGATAATGAATTCAAGCCACCTGAACAGCGTGAACAAGGCTTAAATTCAAACACCTTCCACATACCCCATCCCCTTTCTCAAGTCTNCCTGTAAAACCAAATACAAAAATGAAACAGCACTTTTATTCCATGTACCTTGCTCTCTTTGTTGAGAATTTGTAATATTTCACACTGACAACATTCTGATTCTCCTTTAATTTACAGACATTTCTTGAGTGTGGTTGCTGCAATCCCTGCATTATTTGCGCATGGGACCGCTGCTCTGCTTACTCCACCCTAGTTCCACTCCTCGAGGACGATACAGTACAAAGGACATGAAACCATCCATGCCCAAATGGAATTACACATCAATACCGCTACAGCATGTGTGTAAAAGTAAATGTACCAGAGCACCACACCAGATAGTACCCCAAAATGCAATGTACATGGAAGCATACCATCCTCTGGGAGCTCAGGCACATCCTCATCTAGTATTTCAGCAAATGTGATCATTCCAGTATGCAGTCGCTCATATGAGTACTTCAGGTTTTCCCATTTTTCTTTCCTCTCTCCACTCAGTTCTCCTCTTGTCTGTAATATCTTCTTGTTCTGCCTTTCAAATGCCTGAAGATCTCTGTGTTCCTGAATAAAATGACAAACTCATATTTATCTTCATGGCTGGAAGGCAAAAGTCACTGTTTTCACGCACCACATTCAAAAGTAATCTTTCAGAGTCATGAAATAAACTTGTGTCTCTTGGCCATGTTACAAAATTCCCACACCTCTCCTATGAATATTTATTCTTTGTTCTTTGCATTCTGTTGTTTTACATTTACAGTATTTTCTTCAATATGTGCTTTCTACTGATAAACTAAATGTACTTCAATGGTGTTTGGAATAACCTAGACCTGTGGTCAAATCATAAATGTACAAGAAACAATTTGGCAGGGCATGGGAAAATCTAATACGTTCTGGCCACTAGCAAATACGATGCTTCCCATAATGTAATACAGATATGCTAACACGTTAATGCACCATGCCATTAAGGAATATAAGAGACAGAGGTAGTTGTTTGCATAAAATCAACGTACTATTACTGCACAAGTCAGGTCTGTAATCATAATGTTAAATCCTACCTTCATAACATGTTTTACTAATGATCCATAATATTCCTTCAGCAAAGCTTTAACATTGCGCTGCTTTTCCTTTGTAAGCAGCTTGCTTCTGGGAAGTGATACCTGATACTGCTCTGCCAGCAATCTAATTTTTCTTGGAACCAATCCTGAAACATTCCATATGGGCACTCATATTATTCAGGCATGTATATGCATTCAATAGACGGCTCATTTTTTCTAATGTGATCTTTAAGAACTTGCAATCCTTTACCACATTCATATTCATTCTTTCCCCTTAACCTCTAGTGCTGAAGTGCTGCGATTGCAATTTGCATTGAAAGAACAACACAAAACTCTACCGTTCACAAAGTTAATTAGGAACACAGACATATCTAATTCTTTTGTAGTTTCTTAAATATATAGTATATTGGAAAAGGTGTTTCATACCAGGAATGTATACACATGTATTATTGAGATTTATATCTTATATTCTACACCAATTTTTTGTATGATATGCCATTCTAGGGAAAACTGATAAAAAGCTCAATTTGAACTTTATGTAAAGGGGCGATTATACTGAAATGACATAAAACAACATAACACATAGCTGAAAACTTTTAATTTGGATCCCCAATACCAAATCCAATTCAAAGTTTTTCACTAATTTCGAAAATTAAATGTGTACTGACAGACATCACACAACAAAAACCTTTATGATTTCAAATAGATTAAAATGATTTTCTTACAAAATCCTTCTTGTATTACGTCAACAAATGCATTTCTCTTTTGCATATATACAGGTAAGGCAGAAAGTTTCCACAGTGATTTATGTTAAAGCTTGTTGTATAGGCTGTACTGCTAACTTTTCATACAGGTAGAAGCATGAAATCCCTATATGACTGTAAAACAGTTTCAACCTTGACGAGCCCATTGTAATGTTGTCGCAGCAGAGATGCTTTCCATATGCACCAAAGAAAAGTAATATGGAGCAAAATGATTTTTGTAGGCTGAAAGTGCACCAGGGACAGAAGTCCACTGTAAACTTTAGGCACAATATGATAAGAGTGATTTAAAAAAAAAAAAAAGTAGTTGGTTGAGGCACTATGCTACAAGCCAGAAGGTTGCAGGATCAAGCTCCGATGAGGTGGAGTTTTTCAATTTACCTAATTTTTCCAGCCGCACTATGGCCCTGTGGTCAACTCTGCCTCTAATATTAATGAGTACCAAGAATCTTCCTGGTGGGTAAAGGGCAGGCAACACATAAGGCTGCAACTTTATCACCATCTGTGAGCCAACTGTCTAGAGAAAATGTGGAAGCCTCGATGTCTCACAACCCTATAGGCCTTCATGGCCTGTGACAGGAATAGTTTTTCCTTTCTGACACTATGGATGAGACATGGATCCATCATTTTGCTCTAGAGAGCAAACACCATGGTATGGAATGGAAATTACCAATATCATCAGTTGAAAATAAGTTCAAAATTAAACAATCGCGAGGAAAAATTATGTTGACATTTCTTTGGGTTGCACAAGAACCAATCTTGAAACACTACCAAAAGAGTAAACAGTGCCTCTTACAGTGAAATGCTCCCAGACCAGCTGAAACCGGTTATTCAAACCAAACTACTGAGAACTATAGTTGAAACATGTTGCAATGTTGCATGATAATGCCCGTCAACACACACTGTTGCCCACACTACTGAAAACCTCCACCAACTGAAATCTGAGGAGTTGAAGCATCCTCTGCATATTCCTGATCTGGCTACTGTCTATCTTCTGTTTGGTCCACTCAAATATACTCTGAGAGGCCACCATTTCACCAGTAGCCATGAAGTGAAAGAAGTGGTGCATGCATGGCCTATCACTCAACCATGAATATTTCTTCCCGAGGCCATACAAAAACTCGTAGACTGCTGGAATAAGTGTGGTGAAAAGGCCACAAACTATACACAAAAACGATGCCCTTGTACATATTCATTGTAATTGTATTATTATACAAAAAATTAATTGTGGATATTTTCTGGCACATACAAGGGTCCTACTTTGATGGTAGATGTTGCCGTACATCCTACCATTACAGTGCCATACCACTATTCTGGGAACTTTCTGACCGCCCCTCATATGTTATGTTAGTCTGAAGAGTGAGCAGAAACCACATTACTCATGTGTGAAAATGTTAATGTGAATACGTGGCCGCACCATAGCTCAAGCGGTTAGTCGCTGGCTTCCCACCGCGGCGGCCCAGGTTCGATCCCGGGTCTGGTCAAGTGGGATTGTGGTGGACAAAGTGGCACTGGGGCGGGTTTTCTCTGAGTACTTCGGTTTCCCCTGCCAATCTTCATTCCACCAAATTCTCCATCATCATAATCACCCAGGGCAGGTATTATAGGCCAATCAGTGGCCACCATGCCAAGTGGAACCAGCTGGACTCCACTCGCCACTAAGCGAATTTAAAAAAAAAAAAAATTAATGTGAATACAAGCTGATGCAATACAGAAAATACCTGCATAATCTTCACCACAGTGTCTACAGAAACTCAGAATGATATTGACATTGTTGTGCTCTTCCCTGTCCATGTTCACCAGCACTGTGAGTACATTTCCTAGGAGAGGCAATCCCTCCTTGTGTGTGAATATCCCTACATTTATCAATTCAGCATAAAATCGTAAATCGACTCTCAGTTTACTCTGATTTATCATCTGAAACACAATCAATTGTGTTAAAACCAGTACACCTATAAGTGATAATGGGCAATAACACGCCAAATTTCAGAAATGGAATTAATCTACTACATACTCAATGATTTTGTTTAGTTCAAATATGATGTAAAATTCAAATAAATCGCAATAACTAAAATTAACACTATATCTCTCTATAGATACTGTCATGTGTATGAGTGACTACAGGCAGGGTTTTGGATTCGATATTGGATTTACTGACAACTTTAACATAAAACTTGTAATTACACTTAATTATAGTGCCATCCCTGATCTGCACTATTTACAATTCACTAGAACACAAGCTAAGTCTCTTCCAGCCCACAGTGTCTTCACTAATAGCTGGCTGGTAACGATCCCAGCAATGGCTATTCCTCTGCTTCCATGCTAAGTCTTCTCTGAATGGCTGCTTCCTCCCAACTCTTCCAACTGTCCATTTTCTTCACAGCCTCCCATACAGAACTGACTTGGTTGCCCCAACTCTCTTCCTTATAACTTCTCAGCACAGCATACGCAGAGAACACTGTTCATTCTCATATGCATATCCATTGCCGCAGGACAGTTTACCGAGGCGTTTCTTAGCAGCGGCCGTCTATCCTTGCTTATTAAGAATTTGCTGCCTACCAACAGACATCGTTCCATTGTGTTTCATGGCTTTTGCCTAGACACGAAAGTTGTTCCAGAGCCATTCGCTAGCAATGGTTATTTCTCTGGCTTCACAGTTCTTGTTTAGAGCAAATATGCCACATTTCTCCCGCCTTAAATCTACTCGTTCTGAGTAGCCCATTGGTGTGTCACTGTTCCTTCCTTTTTAATGGCTGTGTTGGTGACATCTGTCATTGATCTCACCTTAATTCCCATGGTTTGGTTTTCATGAAGATTACTCTCTAACCACTCCTGCTGCTCCCTCCTTAAGGCCGCTCATCCCAAGTGGTTCCCTTATAGGGTACCAGTCGGTCAAAGTTTATCACCATCATCTTCCTCCATTCAGTGCAGTCACAAGTTCCAAGAATGGTCAATGTTCCTACATCCACAGCTCTTACTCCAGGTGTAGTTTCTTTTATCTTTTTTTTGTTTTGGAGGGGGCCGACCCCTCCACAATGTTCTGATGCTCATTTTTTGAATCCTGACAGATGATCCAGCTATTCTCTTTGTGATCTCCTGCCCTAGGGTCTCCCTGAAGGACTCATTAACATTTTCCTGTGCTTCCAGTGGTAGGTGCTGTCTTCTGCTTCTTCCTCTGATATCACTGCCAGTTGTCCTCTCCTTCCTCAGACATAGCTGCCAGATTGAGCCTTGGTCCCTTATACCATCATTGCATTCCAGACCTTTCTGTCGTCTCATGTTGTTTGTCCAATCTTTCTGAGGTCTTTGTACAGCCATGTCCTTGTCTTGACCATGACAACAGTGTCCCTTATGCCACTCAGGAATGGCATGGCGGATCACCCCTCTGTAGACAGCAGCCAACTTCTCTGGAACCACCACCACCCTGGTTCAATTTTACACCTGCCGGCGGCATCTTACGGTTAGATGCTGGTCCCCATACCGCTTCTTCAGTGCTCTAACGGTTTTCACTTCAGCCTCTTCTTTAGGGACTTCCTGCTGCTCTGCTATGGTCTCTATATTCAGGATTTGCCTCCAAATGCATGGCATTCCACTTCTACCAGGAAGTCTAAATTTCTGCTTCCATTGGTTACTGGGTGGTCTCTATCCTGGATGCCATCCTTCCCAGATAGGCCTAGGTCACTTCTCAGCAAGCCTTTATCTTATCTCGCCAGGCATTCATATTAGCTTCCATCCTTTCCTGATGGGCGTCCATCTGGGCCACTATTTCTTCTTGAACTGTCTCTGTCCTGGCTTGGTGGATATCCATTCAGGAGACCAGAGTACTTAGAAGGACCTCAGTATTCTTGTTATCGGCATCTATCCTGACTTCCAGCCTTGCCGTCGATTCCACTTGGTTGACATCCACCTTTACTTGGTTGGTGTCCATTTTTCCCCGGTTGGTTCTTATGTCATCTTTCATTTCTTGTCGCATTTCTTGCATGGCGTTCTGGAGTTCTGTCACTTTTGCTGTTCTCATAGTATGGCAGTATAATGATCAAGATTCAATGCAGTCTCCAATCTGATGAGTTCTTAAACTAACTGTCAGGTGTCAGAATAGATATTGACAGGGTTTTGGATTGGACATTGGATTTATTGACCACTTAAACACACAACTGGAAACTAAAATCAACTGCTGCGCCAATATAGATCTCCACAATTCACAAATCACCAAAGCACCCGCTAAGACTTTTCCATCCTGCTGTCTTCACCAGCGATTCCCTGGTAACGACTACAACAAAGGGAAGAAAAATCTGCGAGTGAGGATCTACTCGGCGCCACATCCCAGAAGATGGCATTCTTCACAGTCACTGCCTTGAAAACCTCAAATCTTACATACTACTATATAATTCCAAAATATGTATGATGATCTTAATTTCATGCATCCTGCTGTGCTACAATATACAACTCTTTAATGAACCGTCACAACACAGCAAATAGTAAAACATCAATGTCAGCGTTCAGCTGTGGCTTTGCTACATGTTTCGGCCACTATCAGCCATCATCAGGCAAATATATATCAACAAAAATCTACCATTTAACTGCAATCAAAGAACACATACGTGACATAAAAAATAACGGACAAAGTTCCAAATTTGCTCAACATGTGTTGGACACCACACATGAATATGGTACGACATACAAAACATTGGAGGTTTTATATATCAGCAACAAAGGCCGAACCTTAGATACTTACGAAAAGTTTCATATATACGAAATCAGTAAACTACAACTGAATGATAACTTTACTGAAATGTTCAGTCTAATATGACGTTATAATTGATACATACAAAACGTAATATACAGTTATACCCCTCCCCTCCCCCTTACCATCACTTCCGCATACATCTTATTTCTATCCCCCCCTCCCTCCCTTACACTGACCTTAATCCTACATCACCAAATCAGTCGTAGTTTGCTTTCCATGCAATACGGACAATTCTTCTTAATGACGAGGCAGCATTACACAATTCATTAATTGCTACACCATGGGCCTCTCTTAAAATCTTCTATATAAAGTAATATCGAATTTCCCTATTGTCTACGGAAACGCACACAAAGTATATCCAAAGACTGAGTCAATGTTTTTGAAAACATCATTAATATTTTATCTTGTTATAATACTTCCAATTTTTAATTTTTATATAATCTGAACTTTTGTATTTTTTACATAAGCATTTTTAAATTTGTACAATCAATAGTGTTATATCCATTCTATGATTGCAGTTAAATGGTAGATTTTTGTTGATATGTATTTGCCTGATGATGGCCGATAGTGGCCGAAACATGTAGTAAAGCCACAGCTGAACGCTGACTTTGATGTTTTACTATTTGGTGTGTTGTGACAGTTCATTAAAGAGTTGTATATGTATGATGACAAGACTTTGAAAAATTTGTGTATCTGTTAAATCATTTGTGCCTGAAACTGACATGAACATGACTCCTGCACAAATTACGGATTTTCTCTGTGATTCAATACTAATTAAAATTCTACTGCAACATGAATTATGGAGTGCCAGAAGATAACTAAAATTGTTTTGTACAAAGCACTTGTGCATTCAGAATTACAAATGGCAATGCTGTGGATGTTTAGAGATTTTCTTTTTCAAAAGAATGGTGCACTCTTCATTTAAAATGTTACCAAAATATAAAATGATTACTTTACAAAAACATTAGTAATGTACTTACACGGTCATCTTTCTTAACTGTTAAGAACCTATGCCAGTTCTCCAAAAGATGTGAAGAGAATTCTGCATACATATGATGCAGGGAATTACACAGCTCCACAGCAGCAATAACATCTGTCATCTTCAGTTTGGCCTCCACTATGGCTGCTGCAGCTTCACTTACATACTTTGTTAAGTTGAGTGTTGACATATCCTTCAGCAAGGAGTCAAGTTGATTGCATGTAAATGTTTTCTATCAAACAAAACAGTAATTAATGTGAAATTCCAGTGCAGACTTAAGCACAAAGAATGCATAATGCACTAAATAGATGATACACCAATTATTATCTAAAAACAGTGTACAGCTAAGAGTGGTACTTACAAGTTTCCTCACAAATGCTGTATTCTTCTTAAGGCTTGAATCCAATTTGGAGAAGTGAGAGTCATCTGGGCGTAGATTGACTACATCCTGATTCTCCTGACGAAGAATTTGCTTCTGATTAAGTCTCTGTTCTACTTCAGATACATACAAGTCTAGAATTTTCTGAAATAATACAATTTATCTGAACGTGTCATAAATTATATGCATGCAGGGAACAAATTTTCTGTATACTTCAGACAGTGTAAGAGAGTGCGTCTGAATGTGCACTTGTGTCTGTGTATGTGTTATGGTGGAAGCAGTACAGAGTATACTGACATTATATAACATACACATTACAGCTTCACACCTCTAAGACATTATGTTTACTCTGACTTGCTTTCATTCAATACTTCCATGGTTTAAGGCTCAAAATGTATGAACTGGTTCCAATACTTATACATATATCATATTATTTTAACAAGTGTCATACACTGAAAAACGAGTGAAATTTGTATATAAAGGACTTAGAATTTCATTCTTATAATCAAGTCTGAGAACTGGTACATCCAAAATTATCATTCAATTTGATCTGCATTTCAGAGAATACCATGAACTGCAAAACAGAAGATAGTGTAACAATCAACAGTACCTTCTTCTGCGATACAATGCCATGCATTCCACTGTATGCCCACCATAATTTCAGAGAACCCCTACCAGACTACACATCATTACAACTCAGAAGACAGTACCCTACACCAGTCATTCTCAACCTTTGTGAGACCGTGGCCTAGTAAGGTGAGGTCCCTATTTAATTGATGCCATGGCCTGGTACTGGGCCGTGGCCCAGCAGTTGAGAAACACTGCTGTCAGAACATTGAAACCTAGCATAATACTGTTTTGAGATTCATTTTTCTAAATTTGTTATTTAACAGTAATATCAGTATTGAGCCTCTATAAAGACAATGGCAGGATGACAAATGAATGTGGAACAGTTGGTGAATAAGAATTGACAGGGGAAACTGAAGTACTTGGCGAAGACCTGCTGCAGTGGCCCTCTGTGCCCCAGAAATCCTACATTACCTGACCTTGGACAAAACCATGGCTGCTGCAGTGGAATGCTGACAACTGACCACCTAAGCTATGGCAAAACGTGAAAACTCATTTCAACAGAATAGTTTTCATAAGCATTTCAACATAAAAGGTAACAGTAGGCTATTTTCAGGCACTGTCCCAGCAATCACTTGGCAGAATTGAGTAAATAATGACAAAACCCACTTGGAATAAAGAGACCTTGGGCAGGATTTAGACTGGATAACTTTCAAAATGCAAGTCAAATGCATTACCACTGGAGCAAACACACTTTCCAGATGTGTGCCTTGCTGTAATTTAATTTATTCTAAATATTAACATATTGTTGAAAAACTATAAATATCACATGGCACACTGAAATCTGTTCCTTGGACTTCATAAATACCCACCATATCAAAAAATGTTTCATATAAAAGTTACAGTTCTTAATGAGCTGTATATTCTATGTCAAGTATTAACTTTGTGTAATGAGCTAATTTTGTTAACTACAATAAAGGTCAATACAAGTTTCAAATAAAAGATGGGTTCTAATTGACCAATACATAATTTAAATTGTCTGGCAATTTTGGTAAGAAGCCCCAGTATCAAATTTCATTAGGATTCATAGAGCTTTTACAGATGAGAAACAATGACATATGCATACATAATCCCTATATCATACATTTATATTATGCATTAAAAGTGGCTATCATGATAGCATGACATTAACCCAAGAATATTTACCTTATCTTCACTTGCCATTGCAGATGGCTGAAGAAATGCAGTTTCTGATGGCAAAGTTTGATCTGGAACAACGTCAATTCCAAGACAATATTTGCTGTTTACAGATGATCCTTCCAACTGCACGTATTCATGAAACATGTCACCTACAATTTCTAAAGCTGGCTTATCCATTAAATGCTCAGGGTTTCCTTCATTCAATTCTGCTGTTGAATTTTCTAAATTACTTACACTTGTGTCTCTCATTGTTCCATTGTCCGTATCACTGGCTTTATACTCCACAGCCACATTTCCAAAGGAACTGTCAGTTACAAATTTGTTATTCTCACCAGATGTACCAGAGTCTTCCAAGAATTCAGAATCATTTTGTTGTCCATCTCGAAAAGGTGACACTGATTTGGCACTAGCGAGCACACACACAGAATGTTCGGTCTTGTCAACAATTTCTACAGGTCTTGCAAAATTTTCTTCATGGCATAATTCTACAAACAAATTCTTTCCTTGCTTGACACCAGAAGTTTCTTCTTCCTTTAATTTTTCTGCAACATTTCCTGGAGTCTCAAAACTGCTGAGGGTGGACTCTTCGGCATGAACACTACATATATGGTCATCAGTTTTTAAGCTGTCTTTCGAGTGATCATTTGGTGCCCCACTTCTGTTCTCCAAGTCACAACTAGAATTATTACTATGCTCTGCATCTTGGGAAGTAACCAAAGAATCTACAATTTCAAAATTTCTATTACCTGACATTGCTGCTTGTTCCAACGTATCCAAACCCGCTAATTCACCTCTCTCTCCATACTTCCCCAACTCTTCTCCTGTGTCAAGCAAAACATCAGCTTTCTGGTTAGACTCCTCAGTGTCCACACACTCTTCTTGGGCAGTACTGATGTTTCCCAAAAGTTCATGCATTACATCTTTAAATCCTGACTGACCTTGTGTTGCTCTTTCTACTGCAGCATCTTTCATAATATCTGGGTATCTTGGTGTGGCATCTTCTAATGTTTCTGGTTTAACATTTGCTTCTCTTGCTGGAACCCATTCTGGAATTTCAAGTGATATATCCATGATATCTCCCCTCTTTGCCAATGCCTCCTCCAAGTGCACCAGTTCAGTTCCTTTCATCATTGTGAGCTCTGATGACTCTGCTGAAACTTCCAGAGGACCTGACTTAACTTTATGTAATTTTGAAGATCCCGATTCAGTTCCTCCTGAAATTCTAGAGTACCCTTCAGATGTGATTTCTGGCATTTCAATGTCAAACTGCTGCATTATCACGTATGATCTGTCATTTTCTTCCATATTTTCACATGAGGACAAACCCTCATAAATATGTCCAGGTTTCTTGGAATCCCCCATTAAATTCACACAAAAACCATCTGTGGCAGGAAAATCATCTCTTCCCTCCTTTTCAAGATTCTGCTTACACAAATTATTTTCAGTTTCAACATCTGAACCTTCTGCAGTGTGTAATAAGGAAGAGACTATTTCACTACTCCTGCCATCGCACAACATTCCCTCAACAGCTCCCAAATTATTAATTACATTACTTTCTGCAGATTCTTTGTTAGTGCTTTCACATTCAATGGCAGAGTTCTCAATGGTCATCCTCAAGGCAGAAGTACCTTCATTTTCAACATCAACACCACCACTGCCATTCAAAAGTTTGTCACTTGCAGACATTTCCATCTCCTCCACTCTAACTGCATCTTTCAAAAGTTCTGTTGAATTGTCCTTCATTTCTAAAAGTACAGACTGATCTGGTCCATATCCAGGATCACGACATTTCTTTAGATCATTATTATTTTGATGCCTACGACACCGCTCTTCGTGCTCACGTTTCCAACTCTTTGCTCTTCGCTCTGGTATAAGATCTGTGGGATCCATATTATGCACTGTAAAAGCAATCACACAAATTATACTATAATAATTGCAGTAAGCCTCCTTGTGTAACAATCTACCAAAACTCTGAGTTCCTAGACCAAAGTGTATAATTCCAATTGAATCTAACATCTGCATAACAGTGGTAAAGATAAATAGAACTAAAACTGATATGCTTTTCCTAAATTCAAGACAAATTTATAAAGAAATTATCAGAACTATAGAACTACTGAACCAATTACTGAGATATGCTATCTCATTAAACACAAATTTGTAAAATTTACTTATTTTGAAACAAAAACAATATATGTCTATATTAAAATTACTCTTTTTAACAGAAGATAGTGGCATTATGAATTTATTGGATGATGAAAATCAATGAAGTATTAAGGTAAAATACATGCAACTAGACATGCACACACATCAATACTGAATAATGGGAAGAAACAGTACTAGACTTTATTTACACTCAAACCCATTTCTGAATGAATCTACTCAATTTTGATATGTATTCGTAACTTATTCTGCTACAGTTCATACACTTGAAACATATCATCAGCCTGAACAATACGCTGGTAAGAGGCAGCGCACACCTACCTACTTCTCTTAAAACTTCTACAATTAGTGCCCCCCCCTTTCTTGTTCTTCTCTCCAGAAAAACAGAGAACTGTCCACTCATTTAGGACTCATACATTCTTGTAGTCATCACTGGCATAAAATCATGGTCGTGAAGTTTCAGAATCTTAGTCTCACTGTGAGCCTAGAAGAAGAGTTTAGCAGAAATGTGCAACCAATGTGAGAGAAAGACATGACAAAGTGTGTACTGGAGACATATTAGTTCAATGCTGGCAGCAACAAGTCACAAGAAGAGAACAGTTGAGTGGCATACAATGTAATAGTAATGGACAAACACATGCTAAAGGCTAACCTACTGATTATGAAACATCAACTGTTCCAAAACATAACAAATGTTTTGATAAGTTCTTGAAAGGTGTAAAGGGAAAGGTAAAGTTGTCCTTGTGCTTGACTAATTAAACACTACGTCATGAAGGCATATGGGAGAGTGGATGTTTAGATCCACATTTTCTTGACCTCGATACTAGCTGAAGGTGAGTGGTCAGCTTCATGCTCCTGATGCTTTACCCCCAGGGAAAGAGGCTCCGGTACCCATAACTGATGACCCCAACAGTGTCTGTGAGCTCATGGATTGTTCAGTAACAGGCTTCGTTAATGAATTCTTGAACTTTTTCAACATTTTCTGTCCTTTTGTTGGTGGTTGGTCACACTGAACATTAGTCATCTTCATCTTCAACATTCTACTGGCCTTGAAATGTGAATTCCACTAAATAACCACTGTCTGGCTTAAAGAGTGTTCTACAAAAGCCTCACAAAGCATTTCAAGGGTTTTGGTAGCAGAATTACTGAGCTGCAAGCAAAACTTGATGCAGACACATTGCTTGATTTTGCCATCCATCTCAAACAAAATGAAACACTAAGTCAAAAAAGCACTCATGTAAAAACAATGCATGTTCACAGTGTGGTGTCATGTGGCAGACCGATGCAATAGGCTTGTGTGTGACCTTGGCCTCCCCTCTCATCTTCTTTTACTGAGGCAGTTACAATAATAGTCTTGTAACTATCTGACATCACCTCATATTAGTGTTCCAAGCCAAACAGGGGCAGAACTTAACCTTACTTTTATATGACTTCAGAGAGAAATGTTTATATTTTCCACAAAATCTTCAACAATTTTTTTTTATTTGTTTCCTTCTGGTCTGTCACACTAACAATTATAAATACAAACCACTCCGTCCAATGTGACATATAAGTTTTTACTATGTTAAAACTTATCTCCCTTACATGTTTCGGTTCTTGCAGGCCATCTTCAGAGGGAACATCATTACAAACTGGAAACTACCATCACAAAGGTGTTTTGATTTAAAATACATACACTTATATCCTATAATGCACAGTACGCATAAAGTCGAACATTTCACAATCACAGCAGCTTCCTGGCATTGCAAAGTTTTTAAAAGTTTCTAGATGTTATTTAAAAAACCTTTATTGTAAATAGTTAACATTTTTTAAACCACGTAGGTTCGTGTCCGTACTCCTATCGTCCTTCTTGTATGGGGCAGATTTTGTGCCGCCTGTCTATCTTGATGAGGAGGTTCTTGATGTCGTCCAGGGTTTGTTCGTGGCCACAAAATCTGCCCCATACAAGAAGGACGATAGGAGTACGGACACGAACCTAAGTGGTTTAAAAAATTTGAACTACTGACAATATAGGTTTTTTAAATAACATCTAGAAACTTTTAAAAACTTTACAACGCCAGAAAGCTGCTGTGATTGTGAAACGTTCGACTTTATGCGTACTGTGCATTATAGGATATAAGTGTATGTATTTTAAATCAAAACACCTATTGTGATGGTAGTTTCCAGTTTGTAATGATGTTCCCTCTGAAGATGGCCCGCAAGGGCCGAAACATGTAAGGGAGATAAGTTTTAATGTAGTAAAACTTATATGTCACATTGGACGGAGTGGTTTGTATTTAAAATCTTCAGATTTAAACAGATCTAAACAATTCTGAAGTTCCACTGCTCAAAACTCTATACCACATTTAAGATCTAAAGTCTGTAACAATGGTACATTAGTACAAATATTGTTTTTTGACAGTATCCATCATCCAGGATGCTGGATAGTGCCCAAAAACATAATATTTGTTCTATACCACATTATTATTAATACTATTTATCATTATTATTTAATAATACTTTTCATTAAATTTCAAGGCCAATTACATAGTATTCAACTGGGAAACTATGAAAGCTAGTAAATATTTTTCCTTTGTCATACAAGCACTGGTTTCAAATATACATTAGAGTTCCAAGCCAAACAAAGGCACCCCTTAACCTTACTTTTATAACTGACTTCCACAAAATCTTCAATCAACCGTTTGTCACAGATCTAAACAATTCTGAAGTTCCAATGATCAAAACTCTATACCATAATTTACATGTAATTAACAAATCTTGAATGAAGCAACACCGCTTACTGCAATTATTTTTGGTACTGTGTATTAGTTGTCATTAGTCTGTTCAGTATACTCTATGCTCAATTTATCAAATATGCTTAAACATCTGTGTTTAAAAGCAGTCCATACTTGCTCTGCATAAAGTGTAACACTTCCAGTTTTTGGGTCCACAATTCAGTAAAATTTTACCGTCACAAGAGAAGAAATCTCGTAGGATATTTCGGTTTATGTTAGATCTACTACACGTCTCCTCATACAAAATTTCTCTCAATCATGCTGAAGTTGGTACAATTCCAGAAAGGTTAAATCCATACACTCCATTCATTGCTGACATTCCTACAATACTGTATTTTATTGTCATTTGACATTTCTGTTACTGTAAATAGTAAATGCAGCAACTAATTTTCGTATAACATGTGTTCACTGCACACAATGTAAAAGTTTACATCATCTGTTAACTTACGGAAGCAATACAAAGTAGAACCTTGTTTCTGTCACACCTATGACCAAATTTTACTTGAATAACGTTTATACTGTCACTAGGGGGAAATAAAACCCCTGACGATGAAAATCCTACTTCTCATTTTCTGCCTTATTAATAGCATTCATAACACATTACTATCTCTAACTTACACTCGCAATAACAATCCTGCTACAACCAAAGGTGTGTTAACCGTGACGACCGTGACAGACCAACAAACCAAGGATCACTAAAGATTATTGCATATATCTATGCCTAGGCAGGGCGCACAATGAAACTGGCAACCGCAACACAACCGCGATTTCTGAGAAAATTTTCCGATTTCAAGCAGGCAACTGGTTTCCTGACTAGCAGGCGCACACCGAGGAAACCTACATTCAATTAATTTCTCACGTAAGTGTGTTTGCCCGCCAATTTCGTGCGCTTCTATGCAGTGTCAGATAATATTGGTCCTGTAATAATATGGTGGTCGATGAGGCGGCGTAAGAAGAGATGACAGCAGAAAAGGAATCATTGGGTGCATACGTTTTTTCGCGACAATTAAAACTCAGGTGCTTGTATTGTTTAGAAAGAATTTTATCAGGATCCATAACTGTTCAAATCATTTTACAGATTGAGCATTGAATGTTTTTTTTATAAATGGATCTTGTAGGACCTCAAATTCGAAGCCAAGATACAAATTTTCGTCCAGCTGTGTCAGCAGAGCCACATGCAAAATTATCTTTTTGTATATTCCAATTTTTATGTTTTTGGACAGCAGACAAAAGGTTGTGGACTGAATGGGAGCAAGCATTACCCAAGTTCAATCCCCTCTTAATTTCCTCTTGAATCAGGCTTTGATTAATTATCATCATTCGCAGATATCTGAACTGTGCCACATTGTCAAAACATCTGTTACCTAGCTGTATGTCATGATTTTGCCCTGAATTTTAATTATGAGACACCAACATATACTTAGTTTTCTCTGTGTTCACTTCTAGACCAACCTCACTAACGTCAATTAAAGTTTCTGTGTTTCTCTTTATGGTCTCTATATTATCACCCAGTACATTCACATCATCAGCATAGACTTACAGCTGATGTGTCCTATTCAGTTTCAGTTCAACCTTGTTTTCCTGGAACTTCCTAATGGCATATTCTAAAGCAAAGTTGAAAAGGAATGACAATAAAGCATCTCCTTGTTTTAGACCATTCTGGCTAGAGAAATTATCAGACAAATATTTACCTGATATATTGGGTTTTCGGACTTTATCCAGCATCCTGGTTTTTAAGATAACTAATAAAAACACGACGTTTCGGAAACTGGATCTGTTTCCGTCCTCAGGTGAAGGAAAACACCTATTCTGTTGGGTCCCTTAGAAAGAGCTAGCCTCAATCACTGGACCAGTGACGGAAACAGATCCAGTTTCCGAAATGTCGTGTTGTTATCAGTTATCTTAAAAACCAGGACGATGGATAAAGTCTGAAAACCCAATATATCAGTGTGTTATATACCATCGTCAGAATCCTATAGTAACTACAAATATTTACCTATATGGATTTTACCATATGTTTCATTTAAATATATTTTAACCAGCCTAATTAGTTACATGGGTATCCTAAACTCTATCAGAATATTGTTCAATACTTCCCTCCTAACTTAATCATAGGCTTTGTTGAAGCCTACGAATAGCTGATGTACTGTCTCATTGTACTCCCATCTTCTCTCCTGTATCTGACAAATGCAAAAGATCTGATCTGTATTTGATCTGTTATGTCGAAACACACACTGATGATCCCCAACAATTTTGTCTATGTATGGACTTAACCTTGAGAGAAGAACACTGACTAAAACTTTGTATGAAGTTGATAGCAGTGATATCTCCTGATAATTACTACAGTCAGTTTAATTACCCTTCTTGTGAACTGGTACAATAATAGACACCTTCCACTGATCAGGCTATTTATCATTATTCCAAATAGTATTAATTAGTTTACAGATCTTAGAATATATTTCACCTCCTGCTTCAATAAGTCTGCAGGAATTTGATCATTACCTGGTGATTTATACTATTTCAATTTTGCAATAGAAATTTTAATTTGATTTGTCTCATTCTGGTCTGTCACACTATTAAAAATTATCCACTTAGAAATTTTAACCTCAAAAAGGCTAGAATCACATACTAACTGCTCAGCTGTATGTACTTCTATCTGCCTAACATCACTGACCCTATGTACATTCAATAAATGAGAGTAGTTCTTCCACCTATTCAAAATGTTGGAATCTGCAAGCAGATCACCATTCTCATCCTTCACTTAGTTACTTCTAGGTTGGTAACCCCTCTTAAAATCATTTATTCCCCTATACAGGTCTATAATGTTCTTGTTCCTACTGTTCATTGCAATCTCATCAATTCTGTCTTTCAGATATTCCTTCTTTTTGTTCCTGAAATGCCAGCTGATTTCACATATTATATTGATCTGATTATCCCCATTTATTTCGCTTTGATCCTGTAACCACTTGTTTTCTTTGGTCTAATAATTTTGAGCATCCTTCATCGAACCATGGCTTATGTGCTTCTTAAGTTCATAAGAACTCAGACTTTCCTTGGCAGAATTTTGATATTCTCTCTAATACTTTCCATAGCTTTAGGAAGTTAATAGAATTTTCCGTCAATTTCGCGGCAATAGAGGTCACATCACTTTTATTATTCTAATTTCTAATGGTTTAATTAAAACCATCATCAGAGGCACTTTTCATATGGCAGGAGACATTGTTAATTAAGCTGGTTTGATGTTCACTTTCAGTTGTGTTATTCACAGATGTATGTTTCGTATTATTGTCATAGGTTTTAGTTATGACGGCACTCGTCGTCCTATAAAAACATAAACATGCAGAATAATTGGGTATGCCAGTAGGCTATATGCAGCATAGGAATTATCACATTTCCCACAGTAGATTTCTTATGTTTGGATTAATCACTATTAGACTATTTAAAATTTAATTCAAATTGTCGTAAGTCGTTGTTGGTTGTCAATTCTTCCCGTGGATGGGAGTCATCATTCTTGGTGGTGTGTGGGCTTGTATGTGTTATGATGTTACACACAGTGTCTCCTGCCGTATGAAAAGTGCCTCTGATGATGGTTTTAATTAAACCAAAACATGTAAGGCAAGAATAATAAAAGTGATGTGACCTCTATTGCCGCACTGGACAGAAAATTCTATTAACTTTCTAACTTAATAGTGCAGTGGACCAGAATGAGACAATTAAAAAAAATTCCATTGCTTTATTTACATCCACCTGTGTTTAAGTTTTTTCAAAGCCATGAACCTATTTGAGATTTCAACATGATACTGCTCTTTACCCTCTATCTTGTTTAATTTTTTGCGATTGAACCTCTCCATATGAACTCTGGGCATTGTTCTTTTACTCACTGCCAGTCTTTCCCAAAACTTTGCCACCACGAGGCAGTGGTCAGTATCACAATCTGCTGTCTTGAATGAGCGGACATCAAGTATACTTGAATGTCATCTCCTATCTATCAAAAGATGGTCAATTTGATTGTGTCTTTTCCCATCAGGAGATGTCAAAGTAAATTTATGGATGTTATGATGTGGGAATCTTGTACTTTTGACAGTTAGATTTTTAATGTGGCAAAATTTACTACTCTTAACTCCATTATCATTACTAATTTCGTGCGAACTCTCATTCACACTCATTGGTTTGAAAATGTCTTCCCTACCTACTTTGGCTTTGAAATCTCCTAACAAAATTTTCATATGGTACTCCAGGAATTTATCAAATACATGTTCTAGTTCTTTGTAGAACCTGTCCTCTTTATTATCAATTTTATCTTCTGTTGGGGCATGAACATTCAGAACAATGATATCACACCAACACAGGGTGTTAAGGAGAATACACATATTTGGTCCAAAGGGAGATGAAGTGAAAGGAGGATGGAGAAAACTGCATAATGAGGAGCTTCATAACTTGTACTCTTCTCAAAGTATAATTAGAATGATCGACTCAAGGAGTATGAGGTGGGCAGGGCATGTAGCGTGAATGGGGAGAAGAGGAATGCATATAGGATATTGGTGGGAAAGACAGCACTGGGAAGACCAAGGCATAGGTGGGTGGCCAATATTAAAACGGATCTTAGAGATCGGATGGGATGGTATAGTATGGATTGGCGGCTTCTCAAGAAGGACTCAGCTCCATGAGTGAATGAGTATGTCAACAGAAGAAAGACTACTGATTACTCTGAGGTAAGGAAAGTTTCGTTTTTATTGATATACAAATTCTGCAGATCACAAAGCAGTTGTTTGCATTGTTTGAGCAGACATATTTGTATTTTGATAATACTAAAAGTTTTATATATATATATATTTCTCATGAAATGATGGAATCTGGTCACTGGTTACCACACACCTGTTTGCCTGCTCATCTGTACACTCTTCTTCCAACAGCAACAAATATCTGTTATAAAAATTTACATGGCTGTGTCTCTGAATACCGGAACTGGTGTCCCACACTGAGGTCGTAACTCTAAGGCAGGGCACGCCTGATGAATGCTGACAAAGCACCGACTGTAGTGGGCTAGCTTGTGCTAGCAATGACGTTCCACCTTGTTCGGCACCTGGGAGATTGTAGGCCACCCGTAGGGCAGTAAGCACTGGTGGTGGCCTTCCCAGTGGGTTTAGACGACCACTCTTGGAGTCAAGGTAAG